AAAACATTGTATTTCATCTTAGAGTATAACTAGAATAACTTTAGTTTATTTTCACTCTTAGTAATTCTTTTTCTTGTTAATATAGTTGAAAGTCTGGGTATATATAAGCCCTGAAATCAGGTAGTCCTTAGGAAACATGAAATAAAATAACCTCCTGCATTTTTTACTTATATAACACCAATTTCTATATATGTCAATGCCGTGCTCATCAGGCATTTAGAAAAAAATCTTTTTATTGGGGGCTCATACAGCTCTTATCATCATCCATCCATCTATCCATTGCGTCAAGCACATTTGTACATTTCAGCTGTCTTTCAGTGGTCATCAGAGATTACAGCTACTCCCAGGTGGCTCAGTCCCAGTCAGACCTTGCGGGAGAGATCGCTCTGCTTCAGAGCCTGAACCTTGAGGAGGAGGAGGAGGAGGATGACGACACCAGTCTGAATGTGGTTTGTGGCATCTGCATAGAAAAGGTGTGGGACAAGTCCCAGACTGAGGGGGTCTTGGCCTCTTGCCCAACTGCCCCCACCCCTAATGCCTGAGCTGCCTACGCACCTGGCGCAGGAAGCAGCCGGACTTCTTGCTGGCCGTCATCAAGTCCTGCCCCAGTGCTGCATCCACTCCAGCTACATCACCCCCAACACTATCTGGGTCAGCAAGGGCCCCAAGAAGGCGCAGCTCATCCAGGACTTCAAGGCTGGGACAGGCCAGACCCGATGCCGGTTCTTCTGGCGGGGGAATGGCCACTGTCTCTTCAAGTCTGACTGCATCTACCAGCACCAGTCCCCTTTAGAGAAGACCTCGATTTCTGGTCCTACCTGGCCTGAGAGTGTACAGCTGCCCTCTGGGAGTGAGGTGCTGAGTCCAGCCGTGTCCCTAGGGCACCCTGAGCCGGAAGACAACGTAGTCTTCACAGACTGGCCCTGCCCATGGCCTCTGGGGCCTCCCCTTCTCTCCCCTCCTCCTGGAGCTCATCCTGGATGCCAGCAGTTTTGACAGTGGCCTCCTAGAACCAGGATCAACTTGCTGGGATGAGGGGCAGAGTTTGATTGGTGGTTGGGTCTTTCCCTGGGTGGTCATGGTGGTGGCGGTGATGATGGTGAGGACAGGTGTGCAACAGTGACGAGGCTGGGAAACTTGGAGAGGCATGGAGCGTGCATGGGATGGAGGGAGTATTCCGTTCCTCTCTCTTTCTGGTTTTTAACTTTGCTTCTTTGTAGAAGGATTCTAAAAGGAAACTAATAAAATGCAAGTAAGCCATTAAATGATGTTGCCACCATCATTTTCAAAACATTTTCTTTCTACTTGGGCCCTTGGTATCAGCTCCTATTTTTTTCCCTCCTTCCCTCCCTCCCTCACGAACCCTTGATAATTTATAGATGGTTATTATTTTTCATGTCTTCCATTGACCGATGTCTCCCTTCACCCACTTTTTCTGTTGTCTGTCCCCCAGAAGGTGGTTATATGTAGATCATTGTGATCAGTTCCCCCTTTCTCCCCCCATCTTCCATTTACCCTCCTGGTATCGCTACTTTTATTATTGGTCCTGAGGGGTTTATCTCTCCTGGATTCCCTGTGTTTCCATCTCTTATCTATACCCATGTACATGCTCTAGCCTAGCCATATTTGTAAGGTAGAATTGGGATCATGACAGTGGGGGTGGGTGGGAAAGGAGGAAGCATTAAAGAACTAGAGGAAAGTTGTATGTTTCATCAGTGCTATACTGCTCATTTCTTCCTTGTGACCCTTCTGTAAGGGGATGTCCGATTGTCTACAGATGGGTTTTGGGTTTCCATTCTGCACTCCCCTCTCATTCACATTGATGTAATTTTTTGTTCTGGGTCTTTGATGCCTGATACCTGATCCCATGGACACCTCATGATCACACAGGCTGGTGTGATTCTTCCATGTGGGCTTTGTTCCTTCTCAGCTAGATGGCTGCTTGTGTATCTTTAAGTCTTTAAGACCCCAGACACTATATCTTTTGACAGTCGGGCACCATCAGCTTTCTTCACACTTGCTTATGCACCCATTTTGTGCAGTGATCATGTTGGGTAGGTGAACATCATGGAATGCCAAGTTTTTAGAACAAAGTGTTCTTGCATTGAGGGAGTGCTTGGGTAGAGGCGCAATGTCTGTCTGCTACCTTAACACTAAACCTATAAATATATGTACATAGATCTATTTCTCTATCCTTATATATATAAATATATTTACATATACACATGCCTGTATTTAGACCTCTATAAATGCCCTTTGCATCCTAGTTCTTTCCTCTATTTCCTTTTACTTTCCTCTTGTCCCACTATCATATTCTTCTGTCATTCGGGTTTCAGTAATTCCTCTCAGTTACATTGTCCTTGATCAAGCCCTACCAGGCATCCTAAATCCTCTTTGCCATCGAGTTTAGATCATTTGTTGTTCCCTTGCCCCTGGGTTTGTTAACACCCACTTCCTTTCCCTGCCTCCCCTCTCTTGTGTTCACCAGGAACCATTGGTCCTGGTATATTCTCCTACAGATTGTTTATTCCGACTATTTTATCTACATAGAGTTATAGAGGCAATAATAAGGCAGAGCAAAACAAAACGACAAAAGAAAACCAAAAAACCAAACAACAACAAAAACCAATGACAAAAAAAAAAAAAAGCCTATAAATAGTTGCTGGTCTATTCATTGACCTTTAGGAGTGTTTTCCAGTAGAGTTTAATGGGGTGCCATGCCCTGACCCCATAATCTATTTTTGGTATCCCCCAGGGACTTCAATGCTTTGCTGCTCTGTTGCACACCCTTAGCGTTTTGCTTCAGTGTGGTGGGGTCAGAATACACAATTCCTGCATTGTGCCTCCAGTGTTGTCCCTCACAACCATACGGGTCAGTGAGGGATGTTGTGTCTTGTGGTGGGGCCGGCCCTGTGGTCCTCTCTGTGCATTGGCTGCTCTGAGCAGGAATATCATCTATGGGGCTTGGCGGGCCAGGATGTGTTCCACTCTCTCTCCTTCTCTCTTTGTTTGCCCCTGTGTGCTCTGATCAGACACACCTCTCTCCCTGAGCTGTAGCTATAATGCTGTCCTCGGAAGTGCATACTTCTGGGGGTGGGGGTGTCCACTTAGTTGGGATTGGGGCTGGCCCCACAAACCTCTCTA